CGTAAACCGACTCACAACAAATGTTGCTGAACGTTTTGTTGAAGATCGATGCGCCAAATCTGAAAATGTTTTCCGTCTTGGTGAAAATTCAAGATTGGAAACTTATTGACGTCTCATAGTTATTTTCACTCCCTTCACCATGAGGCGGCGGCCTGTTTGAAAAAATTGATGCTGGCCACATAATCGATGCAGCCATCCTGAGAAATGGGTGCTGGAACGTTCGGCTTTGCAGTTGCGACAGCCCAACTGATTGGTGTGGCCCTGCTAATTATTGCCATTTTTGCTCCACATTATCATTATCAACCTGTTGTTTTGCCAGGTAGGATTTCCGAAGCCCCAGCCATTTGAATTCTCTTTCCAGGAGGACCATTCGCAATGTTTGATCTGTCCTTGTTTAAGGTTAAAGTTTCCTCCAATTGCATTCCAGTGACGGCAAGCATTTTCAGCATGAGTAGTATGCCTTCTAATATGCCGTCTCAAGCATGCATGGAATTCGTCTCAATGCTGAATGGAGGTTCTTTGAAACAAACTTCCGATTCATTATGCGGGCAAGTCCTTAACCTCTTCATCCAAACTTCCTCTATTTTTGATATTTCAGGATCAAATTCAGTTACTTTGGATTCCCAACAACAGGTTGTGAAGAATTCTCTCGAATTTCGACTGCATCTTTATTCGCAATTATCTTTTTTATCATCGCGTCATTGTGCTGTTTTATGGGATTTCTCACAACGATGGTCTTTTTTGTCTGTCGCCCATTGATGGTTGTAAGGAAGGGAATCATTGCATTCTGTATGGGATCGCTTTTGTTTTCTACTTTGGCTTGCCTCTTTTACGGATTTCTTGGAGGAACTCTACGGAGCGTTGTTTTTCTTGGAGGATTTTTTCGGCCAGGAAATTCCCAAATTACACAAAATTATTTCTCTTACGGTTCAGGTGAGACCAATCAATCTCTGAACAACTAATACTTTTGTGATCAGGTTTCGCGATTGCCATTTGCGCTGCTATCTGGTCTTGGACGCTTCCACTTTGGGCTGTATGGGCAGTCAAGCTAAAATACTGTCACGACTATTGGTCGGATGAAGACGAGCGTGATGCAGAAGCCGCTGAGCTCGTCGCTGAAATTCGTCGGGAAGCTCAAAAATTAGACCCTGAAACTGCCGATGCAATTTTAAATCCCGTCAGTGCATACGATATTGTCAACTGGTACTCAGGGCAGCAGTAGCTGAAACTCAGCAACTATTTGCCTCCAATGTTTTCTTTCGCCATCAAACAACTTCATAGATAGTGCATGCGGAACCACATTTATTTTAGACCACAGAGAATAATTCAAGTGCCATCAGCGCACCCTTATTTCGGATTAGTCCAGCTGTAAAGCAGATGCCTGAGACTATCCTAAATCAAGCTCCCATTGCGGGCCATCTCTTGGCGACGACGTACCCTCATGAAGCATCGCATATCGTTATCCGTCCAGAAGGCTCCTCATCCGTCTTTCCCTCACAGACTGAGGGGCGCTACGAACCAATTAACCGAGCTGAGAATCGACTTCCTCCAGTCATTCCTGCAGACCTCTCGCCCTTCAGAGGCCGCACTCCCCTCCCTTACGGTAAGGCATCAAGATTAAGTTACCCGGTCTCATCCTGTTTGTTGAAGAACCACAAGGCTACGTTCATATATTCCCTCGTGATGGAAGCGGAGCCAAATTGGGACTTGCAGGATTGGCTGGTGCGTTCGTCTTCGGTAATTTCTTTTTTATCTAGTCTTTCCTTGACAGGCTTTGATGAGACTGGATATGGAAGCGGTAAATATCGAGTGACAGCGCTGCATTTCATGTCCTTCAATCAGGAGCGCTTGATGAATTCGGCCAACCGATTCCAGACGAAGTCCTTCTCGCTCAAGCACAGTCCCAAGCAGGTCCACTGGGAGACTTCTTCTCAGATGAAGCCTTCGCAGAATTAGCGGGAGGATTCAAAGGAACAGACGGAAAGTTTTTGGCGATGACTGCGTATGGCGCGGTGCCACTTCCGGATCAAATGCTGAAATCCATTCCAGAAAAACTTGTTTCGCGGCCGATAGTGCAAGTGAGTCAATTGAAGGACAACGCCGGTTGTGGAGTGCATCTTACAGGAGCGGGATATTTTTGTGTTGAAACAAGAAGAAAGGACTCGAGTGGTCGAGCGAGACTACACTCAGTTTGAGCACTCGTTTGTGGACATTCCTAAAGCTCTGGTTGTTGACAAAATTGAGTTGCAAAAAAGAACAAGAATCATCGAAGTTCCACATTTCAACTATAAGCCAATCGTTGAGGACAAAATTGTAGAGATCCCACTTGTAAGTCATCAATTATCACCAAGACAGTCAATCATGAATCAATCATCATATTGACGAAATTATTCCTCTTTAGGGAATCAAATACGTTGAAATTCCGATTGAAGTCGCTTGCCGGGCTCCCCCGCGCATCGTCCCTGTCCCAAAACCGCACATCGTCGAGCGTATCATCGAAACAACAAAGCCTGTCGTTCAAGAAAAGATCATTGAGGTCCCAGAAGTCGTTCGGAGAAAAGTGAGCGGACGTGTGAATCCAAGCGCAATTGGTCTTTGCAGGTTCCTAAAGTCGTCATCAAAGATATTCCATACGTTGTCCCAAAATATGTTGAAAAAATCATTGAGGTTCCATATCAACCTGGTCAAACGTTGCCGCACCCGCAGGTAGAACGAGTGGAATGAAAGCGACGATTGATTTTTCTGAAACTTCAGGGGGCGCCAATGACTGTTTTGCCTCAACCACCCCCTTTACCAGGTGCGCCACCTATTTGTAATGAACATTTGATCACTTGAAGGGATTCAGGAAAACGACCAGATCAATTAGGAGAGAGAAGCGACGCCGCAACGGCTTGGGGATCTGAAGTGGAGGAGAGACGTAAGAGACTGTTTGGTGCGTCGCAATTCAAGCATTTTGTAGGAACGACTTTCCAAGGATATCCGTCACCGTATCAAGGAACGGCTCCACCTCAATTTGGAGGACAACCCGCATTCCCACCTCCAGCTGGTAAAGCACGAGTTTCTAACTTCCCTATGCTCCGCGTCTGCAGGGGCCCCCATGCCGGTTACCTCTTCTGGAGCGCCGACATTACACCCACGCGCCTCACCACGGGTATGTTGAATACTGTAATGCAAAAATGGTTTGTTTGCAGGCTTACATCAAAGATGATGCTTTAGTCGTTCAAGAAGCAGGAGTTCCCGGAGAACCTCAAACGTTCTATCTAACACAAGGAATCAGACACGTTCAACTGCCATATGAAGCCGAAATTGAAGTAGCTGTTGTGTAAGTTGAACATTCGAATAATGATGAGTGATTGACTTTTGTTATAAGGGAACAAGAAGAAGTCCCAGAAGGTGTTCCAATTGCACAGCCCCATGTTCGATACATGGCTCCTGGCAGTAGAGCCTTAGCAGTAAGCTTTTCCTCGATCTTATTGAGGATTCACATTTCGGTCTTGATAGTATAACGACGGACGAAAAACGTCGTCGCGTGGGGATCCCCAGGATGCAATCTATGCAGGACCTATGGACCCAATTGTGTCACACGCAGCACCGGGAATGCGAGCGATTGAATTCAAAACTAAAGGGTATGAGCCAGATATCTTGACTCAACAAGGGGTTATAAAATATTCGAAGTTTGAATGCTGTTTGTCGAAAGACGTGAGCAAGGTTTTGCCGAACCTCCCCCCACACGCTCTAGTCCCAATGGACCCGCCAGGCACCCCCAATTTGAAGAAACTCGCAGCAGTGCATATGAAACATGCGGAACGGTTGAGTCCCAGATTGACTGCTCATGAAGAAACTGAGAGACTCAAGGAGGAGGAACGCAAAAAGAAAGTCACAGCGCAGAAGCAGTGATTTCAAATTTTGTAGCAGATTAAAATCTCATTTTGTTTTTGACGATTCGCTGTTTGTGGATTCGTTGGTCTCATCGTGAGAGAATCTCTAAAAACGCTACAGGCAGACCGTTATGTGAATTGTGAAAACGTGGGCGCAAAAAAGGCAGTTGATTACGAGCTCAATTTTTATTTCATTTGAGGCCCATCAAATTTATTTTTGATCTCAAACCACTCTCGCCCAAAGTTTTATAGAGCAGAGGGAAAAATGGATAGTTTTTGCCTCAGTCTGTTCGCTGGTGCGCCGCTTCGCAAAACTCAAAAGCCCAGCTTGTGTTTTGTCTTCGCAGGGGTCACTTTTAGTCAACCTATCAAGCAGGTTGTTGTTCGGAAGTACAACACATTGATCCATGCTCTAGTACGCGTCCAACATCTTCTTCTAGTGTTATCATTAGTATCATTGATAGCTGGGATCTGTAGTCATACTTGTCATTCTACACTATTACTGCCAAGATGCGGTAGGGCCCTTGTCTCTGATTCCCCTGGCATTTTGTCTCTTGTTGGTTGCCGTGGAGCCCACGGTAAGCAAGTAAGGTATCGATTCTTGTCATTTCTCTTTGTTTTAGACGCGCTTAATATCTATCGTTTTCTATATCTCTGTATTGAGCTTCATCGGAGCACTCTTTTTCATAAGTTACCTGCTCATTACCTGCAGAGGTGCCGAGCGTTCTTCAACAATCTTCTTTTCACTTCTACCTGTTCAGGCCAGTTCTGGACCCTTGATATCCCTGCGCAAGCGGTTTTGGGTTTAAGTGTTCTTGACGCGTTTCTAGCAGTACGCCAACACCATATGCATCTACTGAACATATAGGATTTTGAGCTCAGCTATTTGTTCTGGGATGTTCTCTTCGGATACTGGTACGCAATAGAGCTCAATCTACTTTTTATGTGAGTTGTTACAGGAGGAGCACGATCGACCGGAAGCCCCTGTATCTGAGCCACCTCCGTTACCAAGTGACTTGGATGAGTTCTACCGTACGATGGAATCCGTATGTCATATTCGTAAAATTTTTTATCAATGACACTTCTCCCTGATAGCGTCCACTTTGGAGGCCGTACCAGGGGCGAGAACAGAAACTAGAAGACAAGGAGAAATCAACAGAAGATGAGGATGTGGTCCCAAAGTATATTGACGCTACAATGCCGTGGACATAAACATCTATTTTTGCTTCAAGACGGGGACACAATCTGGTCCTGGCGTTGGGAGTCCTGACCCAGTTTCTTCTGCCTGTTGCTTCTTTTGTTCTTTTGTTTTGATCTCGTCGTCCTAAGAGCAAAATATTAATGCCTAGAGAGACATATTTGCTAAGCGTACTGGTTTGGGTGTTTCCTTTTGAGGTAGTCTCGTGAAGTTTCCAGAACCGCCTTTCATTATGATACGTTGTGGTGGTGGCGCCGGGGTCACATCGGAGTATTCTAGTCCAGCTTCTAAAATCTCAGCTTTTGGCATCGGGACCTGCTTCAACGCGGTTTCCAATTGATCTTTCTCCCTCTAACAATTGTGTGCGAGTAATGAGAAATCAGATCACAGAAAATCACCTTCAGTTCTTCGTCTTGGTTGCTATTATAGCTTTCCTTACTGAAAGCTTGCTCAGCTACCTGAAACGGATTTCCCATCACCGCAGAGGGTGAGCCAAATCCGATTTACGTCGTTCTGCTTTTCCTGAATCCTAACTTGACCTTGCTGAGCTGCAATCTCTTCATCAGCTGATAGAGGGCCTCCATATTGCTCTACATACTTTCCAGCGGTTTTTTGATCAGGAACACTCTATGAATTTTCGCTCACCAAAGTCAAAGCTGTCATAGAACATAGATCCAACACTGCCCTGGCGCTTATTCTTACGTTTCGGGCCTCTCCTCATTTGAGTATCGTATAGCGATTCGTGAACCGTGACTTTGTCGTCAACATTTCCACCAAGGCGATTTTTGGAACCAACGAAACGAGGAGAGGACTCTTGCGTCTCTAAGGGGACAGAAATGTCCGATGGATGGTGTCAGGCCTAACCTTCCTGCCTTGGAAATCCATTAACTTCTCTCATGATCCTCTGAAAGCAACAAGAGTCAAGCGGATTCTGGCATCGCCACTGACTTGTTGATGAAGAAAGGCTTCTCTGAATTTATTGTAATTCTCCACAGCTTGCTTGGTTATTTCCAGCAATTTGGGAAAGTAGATCTTGTCGTCAAGCAGAGCAAGGTCACGACGATTCATGGTTGGGCCGTAGCGGAGGGCGAGAACGACCGGTAGCAGTAAGACGAAGGAAACGATCATTGGAGATGATCTACTCCGCCATTGAATAGAATTAATAATTTTCGTTCTTTTTGTTCAAATTCATTTTTCAAAAAATTAGCTGAGAGCCATTCGTGATGAATTACTGCTAAGAGCGTTGGCTTAAGGATTTTCGGGTTCCATTTTCAATGAAGAACATGAGTGAAAGGGCAGTCTCAGCCAAAAGCCAATGGGTTTTGCCGGCAACCGGATGTTTTCTTGCAGAGCAAACGAAAATCTACGGTCGCTTCAAAAAAGGTTCAAATAACACTATGCCTGAACGACAGCAGGTTCTATTTCAACAGGAATTGCCACAACCGGCTCAGTGCCTGGGGGTGGAGGAACTGGGAGAAGGGTAGGCAGCGGAACGGCAACAGCCTCCATTCCTTTGAAGTCCTCTCCACTCGGAGTCTCTGTCACCGTCGGAGGTTCAGTGAGCGAAATAAGTAGTGAAGCAGTAGGATTCCCAGTTTCAGATTTGGGAAACACCAGGCCCCACAATCCAACTACGAGCGCCAAGGTGCACGTTAGGATGTGAAAGCAGGCAAAGATGATTCCTAGTCCACCTTGATACCCTAAAACGAAACGATATGCGCAAGAATTTATTATCCCTTACCGAGGCAAGCAAAGAGCAACACAAACAAGTGAAATCCCTACAAACGAAAATTACGATTCTAAGAATGAAAGCACTGTGGCTTACAAGAAAATGGAAGAATGTTCGTGTGATGAACATGATTTGAGAAACTCTGAAATGTGTTAAAATTCCAAAAAGTCCCAAGAAAAACGGAGACCATTTGGCAACTGAAGAAGATATTGTGCTTGACGGCAGATCAGTAATTGCTTACAAAAAAAGTCCGGAGCAAGAGAGAATGCTCGCGCCCGCCAGAACGCGGCATTGATATCGTCTGTCCATTTAAATGGGTCTTTGGGCCACCGAAGATACGCATCCGCTTCGGAAACGTGATAAACGCCAAGGGAAAACGTCAAGAGAGATGCCAGCACTCCAGACCATCGAGTTACGCCTCTTAGAGGTCTGAAAAAAGAGTCTTCGTCGCTCATTTTTTAGAATGATTAAAAATGTGTGCATGCAGTCAGCATCAGCAAAATCGTTGGCACGCCAGTCTTGTTTGACCATGATGAGCAAAAACACATGGAATACAACCACTCTGTTGGGCAGTATCTAAGCGGTGATAACAGTCCCTTCTACTTGCACGGGAATTGCGACAACGGGCTCAGTGCCTGGCGGCGGAGGAACTGGAAGAAGAGTAGGTAGCGAAACGGCAACAGGCTCTTCCTCGTTTATCGACATTTGAGATTTAGTGAACGAAATACGAAGTGAAGCAGTTGGGTTTCCAATTTCAGGATAAGGAAATGCCAAGCTCCACAATCCAACTACGAGCGCCAAGGTGCACGTTAGGATGTGAAAGCACCCGAAGATGATTCCTAGTCCACCTTGATACCCTAAAACGAAACGATATGCCCAAGAATTTATGATCCCTTACCGAGGCAAGCAAAGAGCATCACAAACAAGTGGAATCCCTACAAACAAAAGTATTTGAAAAATAAATGGGTACTAAAGTTTACAAAAAAATGAAAGAATGTTCTCGTGAAGATCATCAATTGTGAAACTTTGAAATGAATGACGAATCCGATAATCCCAAAGAAAAACGGAGCCCAAGTTTCAGCTGAAAAAGAAAGTGAAAAGTCAATAGAGTCATGGAGGGTGAATGTGTGACTACTTGCAGTCATACCGAAGAAATTTGGAGCCAAGGTGAAGGCTGGATGTCGCCAAGTGGGTTTGTTAACATCGTCTGTCCAGTATGCCGGTTTAGATGGCCAACGAACATACGCATCTATAAGGGAAACGTGGTAGATACCAAGAGCTAACGTTAGAATGGAGGCCAATGCGCCAATCCAACGAGTGACTGAACGAAGGCCTCTGAAAAGTTGAGCCTCTTCACCCATACGGATTTATTGAATATTTAAGTGTGCATGCACTCAAATCTAATAAAAAAGTTTCCGAATGTCCTACGAATGAGTGAGCACACTGAGTGGCTCCACAGTTGAGATTCTAGGCACGATCAAATAGGAACTCAAACAATCAAAAGCACAGAGTGACAATGCAAACAGCGCTACATATAGATGGCGCAGAGCCCTCAGGTGAAGATGTGGGAAAACTAAACAGTGGATTCAGCAACAAGTCTTCAACACTTGAAGACATGCTGATCAGTACATCTCTTCCTCTTGCGGGATATGGTGAGGAAAAGCTGCAGATACTCTCAGAGTCTTTCCGTTCTTAGCGGTGCCTATTGGAACTGGATCTCCTCCGGCTGAAGAAGATGAGCCACGCGGAATTGAACACTCTCAAAGTGTTGAAAAGCAGCCAGTGCAGCTACTTCCCGCGTGTGATCCAATTCCTATTGAATTTCAAGGAATTTGTGTGGATGTAACAATTCAAAAAATCGACGAAAAGCAAAGATTCAAACCTCTTCGGAGTCTCTTGATTCGCACAGGCCTCGGAGGTGCGGGTCCCACGATGCAAAAAAGAATTCTTTATAATTTGAGTGGGACGATCAAACCAGGAAGATTAGTTGCGCTTATGGGATCCTCAGGTTCTGCATGGAGTGAAACAAGATGACTCTCACTCTTTTGACTTTTTTTAGGTGCTGGAAAATCAACGCTTCTGAACGGTGAGTTGTTTGGTGAAGTTTGATATCTTTCCGTTAGTTTTGTCCCAGCGCATCATTCCATCTGAAGGATCCGTCAAATACGCAGGTGCACCAGTGACGGAGAATCTTGTTGGAAATTGGACGGCTTTCGTTCAACAATTGGATCTTTTCATGAACCACTTGAATGTTCATGAGCATTTAGCTTCTCAAATTCGACTTCGACTTCCTGATCTGAAGACCAAGGAACAATGCGCCAATCGGGAAATGGCCGTCTGTAATCAACTCAGCCTCGCGAAATGTCGTTTCAACCCAATTGGAACTGAGAGTGGAGTCGGGTGAGTTGGGACATCCAAGGCATTCGAGCGAGTGAATTTTCAGAGGAATCTCCGGTGGTGAACGCAAGCGTCTTAACGTTGCTTCAGAAGTTTTAACAAGTCCGACGATTCTCTTTGCTGATGAACCAACAACAGGTTTAGATTCCTTTATGGCGGAGTCTGTTGTAAATGTATTGAAGAGTATGACAGCTTCGGGCAGAACAGTAATTGCAACAATTCATCAACCAAGTTCCAAGATTTTCGAGTTATTTCAAGATGTTAGATGAAGATCTTGTTGCATATCGTTAATTTTGTTTTTTCAGCTTCTACTTCTTTCTGAAGGGCGTCTCGTTTATTTTGGAGATCGCGTTGGGGCAACCGAATGGTTCAAGCGCCTTGGATTTCCTTGCCCTCAATATACAAATCCTGCTGATCACATTATTAAGGTCAGATGCTAATCAACAAGACGGATGCCAATGATTGGTTTTCAGACGCTAAGCATGCCAGAAGCTCCAGACGCTAAAGAGAAAAAGCTCAATCAAATAATCGAGTGGTCAGAAAAATGGGAGAAAGGGGGAACTCGATTTTTAGAAGAATGGGAGAGTCAGGGACGACGGGAGTTCATTACTAAATCAGCATCTCTTCTAAAAGGCGTTTCCGATGCTTCCATGCCTTCTGATATTGTAAGAACTCTCCGATTTCTGTTTCTCACTTTGATTTTGTCAGAGTTTGGTTCTACAGGAACCTGTTGAAGAGATTCCAGTGGAAGAGCCTCAACAGAAAAGTGAAGCAAAGGTTAACACTCAATGGAAAGCAAGAGGAAAGATTGGATGGTGGGTTGTTTGTTTTGATTGTCAAGGATCTTCAACGGTCTCATATGAGTTTCTAGATTCTAGCAGCTCTCAATTCTTATCAGGTTCAGACAAGTTGGAGTTCTCTATTGGCGCGCAGTGAATGCAAATCGCAGAGATAAAATGCTAATTCATGCACGAGCAGTTCAAACAGTTATTTTGGCGCTCCTCTATGGATTTCTAATGTTCAGGTTATTAATCCTATTTTAGAAGTTGTTGATGATTAATTTTAGATTGACGTGGAGTGTCGCAGACGCTCGATCCAAATTGGGTGGATGTTTCAATTTGGTCATGAACCAGGTAAAATTTCCGGATTTGATCGTTTTCTTATTTTCATCTGTTTTTAGTCGATGGCTGGATCTCTCAGCGTTATCAACACTTTCATTTTTGAGAAGCCTGTTGTAAGGCGTGAATATGAAAGTGGTCTCGTTTCGCCAAGTGCTTATATTACAGGTGGGTCAGGATACTTTTTTCGGTTTAATTTATTATATTTCTTCAGCTAAGCTTTTAGCTGATCTTCCAGTTCAAATTGTTTTTCCAACCCTATTTGGATCGTCAGTCAAATCCAACACATATTGACTCCAAATCTTTCTCTCTTTAGAATTTCTTATTGGATGATGGGATTAAATGATGATTTTGTTCGTTTTCTTATTGCCACTGGAATAATACTTCTTGTTTCAAATACTGCGATGGCAATCGGGTATTTTGCTTCGGCTGTTTCACCATCAGTAAGTTATCAAAATCACGAAGGGCACAGATCATCATTCATCAGGTTGACATCGCCTACATCGTTTCCAATCTTATGACGATTCCTTTAATCCTTTTTGGAGGCTTTCTAGTCAAACTGGATGATACTCCCAAATGGTGCGTTTTGTCATTTTTCTTTAAACAATTTCTTTTTTAGGCTTTCATGGATTCAATATGTCTCATTTGTGAAATACGGGTTCAGCAATATGGTCGTTACAGTTTTTCGTAAGTGCGCTCTTCCTTTCCTTTCATTTTTAGCACAATTTCAGGTGATGAGTCAATCCAGACTCCTGACGGTCCACTTGATGCCATGACTGTGAGTTGCCACCTAATCCTTTCCATTGCTATGCGATCATTCGCTGGTTCTTATCTGTTAGGTGGTGGACCATCTGCTTGGAATTAGTGCGAGTCATTATGCACTCTATTTTATTTTGTTAGCGGTTCTTCTTGTGGCGTAAGTCTGTCTTAACAGAACGGTTCTAACAAAATTTTCAGATACCGACAAATCATCTACATTGCATTTCGGATTATGTTGAGGCGACAGAAGGAAAACGCTTAGCAGTTCAAACTTCGAACGCTTGTGACTTCTTTTTTTTCTACGATCAAACATTTAGTGTGTGTCATGCATGTTTTTTTCCTGTGGGACTGAAATCAGAAAAAAAAAGTCAAGAATTTAAGGGTGATGGATCCTATTGAAGCTCCATCCCATACAGCAGAGGTAAGAGCGTTGGGTAACATACTGTAATCGTCGTTCTGTGTAGAGCTCTCGTGGTGCGAAGGGAATATTTAGACTCCAGAAAGAAGGCGTTCCTCTAGCATTGGCTCCTTCAGACTTGCGAAAACGAAAACAGGTCACATTTAAAATCAGAAACGAAACAAACTTGAATGTCAATGTTGAAGAATTAAAAATCCGTTTCAGTCCATATTGTCGATTGAAAGACTTTGTTTGTGAAGAATTGGGACTTGGAGACTCTGAAAATCGAGCAACTCTCAGAATTGAAACTCAAGAAGGATTTCATGTCGATTGCGATTATGATCAACTAATGGATGGAGGACATTACACGCTGAGATTGCTACCTACCAGTGAGAGATTTCAACAAAGAGAATTCTTCTACTGTGGTTCAGCAGGCGAACACATTTTGGGACATCAATTGCTGAATCGTCGGCGTCACAGCTCTGTTAGCACTGTTGCTGATGTTGAGGATTTAGCGAGGAATCAACAACGAATCGGTATGATAACGAAAATAGACAAAAAAATAGAGTTCTTTAGGAGAGGATGTTGTGTTTGAGAGCGAGTCGAGCGATGAAGAAGATCTCATCAACAATAAGGAGGTTGAAGATGGTGAAATGAGCGATGGGCTGACAGTATCAGAAGATTTAATGACGACTAATGAGGAAGAAAGATACGAGTATTTCAGATTGCCGTTTGTTGGTCGAATTGCGGAATCCCGACTTGTGAATGATCTAGTGCATCGGCTCAATCCTCAACTCATTGTGCTGGCACAGACTGAGGGAATGGGGAAGAAGCGGTTCTCAAAAGAGTTTTTTGATCAGATTGGAACAGGCGAAAATCCGCCAATGTTGTGTATTAATGGTTGTCAAATTCGAGATAAATTTGTGGAAAGACAATCGCTCGATTCTGCCCTACTTGATTGCTTATTCGAAGCGATGAATGATTATTTGGATGAAGGAAGGCGTTTTAATTTGATGCAATTTGACGATGCGATGAAGCGTTGTTGGGTTGCGAAGAGTCTCGCTGAGATTCCAAAACAGTCAATTGGAAGAATTCTTCTCATCATTGAAGATTTGGGGGAACTTGAGAATCTATTTGGAAGTGCGGAAGAACTCGAGCAAGCGACAGCGGATATCCAATACTACGATCGTTGTTGGAAAATGTATCGAGAAGTCTTTCGAATTCTTTTCGCCTTTGATTGCTTTCACGTCATTGCGTCCGGTGAAAGTCGAGCTTTACTTCTCCGAGATTTCGGCGATGGATCGTGCCCTCTATGGGAACTAGGAGCGAAGTATCATTATCACTCGATTTATCTGCCGCCTTTGACAGAAAGCGAATTGGCTCTTGCAGTTGAACATGCAGAATTTGAAGGAGAACTCGTTTCAGAAATTCTTGCTGAAGATTGCGGGGTTCTTAACATTGAGATCTTCATTCACGATGTTTTTATTCTAGCGTTGGGAATTCCTGGCCTTTGCGAAAATGTGATTCGAGCTGTTCTGTTAAAACCTTACGTTTGGAGCGGACCTACATTGAAGTGGAATTCGAAGAGTAAGATCAACTTCTTGTTGTTCCATTGAGCGTTCTTGAATGTCAGAATACAATCGAAGAAGGAGAATTGCTCTTCTGAATTTTTGCATTCAATCGGCAAATATAGTGTTTGAGCACATTACTGTTCGTCAAGGGCGCCCCTCTATTATTGATGAATTGTGTGAACTCTGTATCACACGAAAATCCATCAAACCTGAGGTTGTGCGGCAGAGATCTGCGCAATATATTGTACGCAATTTTTACGGGACGTTGGTACAAGAACGAGGTGGGCTTAACTTTAAACGAACCAAAAATTATTTTTTTTCCAGACGGAACATGCAGAATCCAACTGGCCCCGCTAATAATTAGAATGGTGTTGAATGGCGATCCTGAGATTGAAAAAAAAATGATTTCCCATCTTTCTTTTTAACGATAGAAAGCTTGTTAGTTGGCGCTGCCTGGTGATATAGTTTGGCATGATGAATAAAAAGTTCAACGTGCGATTCCTACGATGCGAGCCGTTCGTCTCATTATCCGACTCGCCGCAATTCTTTCCCTCACTTCTTTAGTTGTACTGTTTTATGGAACTTCTTTTTCTTCTCCTCGACTCCCTTTTTATTCTGCACATCGCCCCCTCCCTCATGACATTCTTCATATCATTTCAATAGGAACGCGTTCCCTTCCAGCTATCGCTCTTGCAGCAATTGATTCCATCTGTCAGCATATGCCCTATGGGGTTGTATACCTTCATGTCCCTGTAGAAGAAGGAATTCCCATGACTGTTCTCCAAAATAGAAAGAAGATTTTGATCAAGCAAGTCCAATTTTTTAAATCGAAAGGTCTCGACATTCGGCTCGAGATGTACACCAACACCTCCTTTCTGAAGGGAACGCCTCTGGAGAATCATCGCATCCATCAGCGCCATCTTGCTGGGTCTTATGGCGTCAGTCATCACTACTCCCTCTACCCTCATGCTTCAGATCTTTTACGCGCGGTCATAATGCACAAAATTGGAGGAGTCTATCTCGATTACGACAATATCTTGCTTCGCGATCTGAACCCTATTTTCTGCGCGTATGGCCCAAATATCCTCAGCACCAACATGTACGACCCAATACTGAAGCGCTGCACTGACGTCACAATCATCTCGGGGTGGTTCGCCTTAGAGTCCCATCACTCTTTCACGCTACAGTGGATCGAACACATCGCTAGCGTTGTTGAAGAGCATGGCGCCGATTGTGTCTTTCCATGGAAAGCTGACCAACCAGGTGTCGAAAAAAAATGCGGTTGGGAGATTGTTGGACCGGCAGCGACGTCAAAGATTCACCGCCAACAATGTAGAGGACCACGACCTCCTAAGCTTGTCAACGAAATTCCTGACTTTCTACCCCGATGTGGACAAAGAGCGAATCAATCACTCGACGATCCATCATGGTGGGTCAGAAAACCAGGGGACTATAACGTGATCTCAAGAACGTATCTGATGCCCGCGCATTGGAACGACATTGATCACCCTTTCTTAACCGAAGATGATCCCTCTGTTGTCCACAACAGCAAAAGCTTGTTGCGTTTTTCCGAAAAAGTACTGAAGCTTCGAAAA